GCTCAAGCCTCCAACGAGGGAACATGCGGGAGCTGCACCCACCAGCAGGTGCGATACCTGCTACAGCAGGTGGGTGATACCGGCCAGGGGTCAGCAGGTAGCATCAGGACCTGTCTCTTATACACATCTAGATGTGTATAAGAGACAGGAGTCCAGCCTTAATTCCAAAAGAAGAAGAAGAAGAAGAAGAAGAAGAAGAAGAAGAAGAGAGTGAGACGTAAAGAGTGAGTAATGGCAATGGAGATGGCAACGCAGAGATGGATGGCGATGGCGCTCGCGATCGAGAAGGATCTTCTGATGGCTTCCCTGAGCAGAGGTGAACGTAGAGAAGGACTGGCTTCGTCTTCGGCCACGCGTCATCCATCCATGGAGAAAGCTACACATCTCTCAGAACATGTGCGAACCAGCAATCGCAGCTTCAATAGCGATGATGATGATGATGAGGTGATGAAGTTATTGCAGCAGACGAGGGAGGTGGTGGATCTTGTTGTGAGAGGTGATTATTGGGAGGCCTTGAGGACACCTGGCGCATCAATGGTGCTTAGAGGGTCGTCTTGTCCAGGAAGTCGCCTTTCTTCTTCTTCCTCTTCTTCCTCTTCTTCTTCTTCTTCTTGGAGACATGTCGGCAGCTGTGAACAAGCTAGAGTTCTAGGAGAAGGGGAATTTGTGGAGAGATTGAGGGGAGTAGAAAAGCACGTCAGGGAATTTCTAGCTGAGCATGGTGAAGATGGCGATGGGGGGGAAATGATTAATCGAACAGAGGGGGAAGAAAAAGGAAGAGGAGGAGGAGGAGGAGGAGAGGGAGAAGGAGGTGGTTTCGCTGAGAAGGTAGCGGCAAAATTGTGGGCACGGCGTTTATTGGTCATGGCTGCTGGTGTGGCCTCTTTGTGCTTGTTCGTGCAGGCGAATTTGATTGGGTAAGAAGCATCGACAGACTGTTTCTTTGTTTTTTCTTTAAAAAAATATTTTTAATGTAGTATTTTATTTTTATTTATCAAATGATTTATGTTTTGCTCTTTTTTTTTTTTCCTCTCAAGTCTTTTTTTTTTTT